AAGACATGTGATATGTGTCTGGCAAAATTGCCACCAGCCATTCGACACTATAATTGTGTCACATTAAGTTTTATTCCAAATGCCAGTGATGCTCCTGCATGATGTGACAGCTGCACTTCCTTCTGGAGGAAGTCTAGATCAACTTCAGCAGCACCTGCTGAGCACAGGGTGACCTCAACCAGTCTCCAGAAAGACACTCAAATATTTGCAGTTTGACTGTGGTGCTGCAGCACTGAGATGAGTTTCTACATGGAACCAGAAATGTACCCGGGCAGCAAGAGGGGACTGTAATCCTTAATTTTGGTGTAGGCAGTTCAGGCAGCTCTGACTCTCTGCAGGGAATTGCCCTGGAGAGTTCTAGCCAGGCTCAAAGGCTACAACTTCACCCACTGCAGTAGCACAACCACATGCTGATGACTCTCAGGGTTAAATTCTGTAAAAGACTAATTCCTTTGGGGCTTCAGCCTTGTTTTCAAAGATTACTTGCAACCAGATTTGCAGAAATGCTACAGCAATTTTAAATGTCTGCTGGGGTTGATGAAAACACCCAAGCAGATTAAGTTGCCACATGTTTTTAAATGTTACTTGTGACCTGCGCTGTCTTGGGTCCCAGGGTTGGCAGGATCATTCGAGAGAACTTCAAATTTTCTCTTTGTTTCTTTTGTTTCTTCCACTAATTATTACTTCTGGGATGTGTATGTAATATTCCCTTTTAAGTATGACAGCCTGTGATCTGGACCCAAGGTGTATCTTTGGGTGCTGATATTTTAGGGACACATGATCTGATTTGGAAGACCTGTGCTGTATTCACTGTGGGAATATTATGTTGTATGCCAATGACAATAAATGCTGGCTGGCATATTCCAGCCTCAAAGCTCTCATGAACCATTGCAGGGAGCTTGGCTGCTCATCCATTTACCATGCAGTTTGTTAAGTGGGCAGCCTGACAGTGGCAGTACCACAGCTTCATTTTCCCCTAACAGCTTTAGACAGCATTTCTTAAATCAAGACAAAGCCTTTGAAGTCAGTGAGTGGAGAAGGCAGCAGTGGCTTTGTAACAGCAATCAGAAATGCAAGTTGAAAGCATGTATGCTAATTGCCAAGACTGCTGCCATATAATTAGCATACACAGTCTGTACCCAAATTAAGAAGAACTCCCTTGAAAGCTTCTTATGCCCTAATATATCCCCAGTATGTCTACACCTATAGCTGAGCTCTGCCCCACCTTTGCATTTCTCAGCAGCTGTGAGGAGCTGAGTGAGGATCAATGCTAATCCAGGTGAACAAGGTGCCTGCAGAAATCTGTCCCGTATGTTAGACACTGGGCAATGACACTGGGCAATGACACAGGGTGTGGCAGGAGTCCAGGCTGATGTAACCATCTGTCAAGAGCCCTGTGAAGAGGAGAGATGCTGCTCCATGCAGCCACCCCGACATCCCAGTGCCTCTCTCGGTGTCCTGCTCACCTGCAGCCTCCAATGCTTCAAAGCTCCAGGTATGTGGCTAAATCTTACATTTTAATAATGGCTGTCATGTCTTCCGTGTTGACACCAGGCTAACAACGGCCCACCCCAAGGACACGGGCTTTACTTAGCCTGCTGCCTTTGGCCTTTGTGGGAAGAGTGCAGGGGAAGGAGCAGCCTTCTTGGCTCTGCAGAACAACCCCGAGCCTCCTGCATCCTGCCTCTTGTCTGCAACTACAGGTCAGCCTCGAGGAAAGGGGAAATCAAATGTGCAGCAGCAGTGCAGCTCGGATTTGATCAGACTTTATTTCAAGGGTACAATTGTATGGCAGCTGAACCTTCAGAATGTCTTGGGACTGTGGGATTGGCAAAACAGATTGGAACTATCCACAGCCGCCTCCCATTCCTACGTCCTCACTTTGTGTGCCTAGGGTCACTACAACCTTGAAAACCTCCCTTATTTATATTCCTCTTCTGTTACTCTTTTTCTTTGTACTTTTCAGTACTATCCACTAGAAAGTGGGGTTTGCATAATAAAAATCTGTGCTTCACACAAGCAGTTAAATCGAGGTATCCCATTAACTGCACTTCTGTGACTGTGACAAGGCAAACCAAAGATACACTCACTGGTCAAAACCAGACCCTCAAAGACACAGTCACTGAGAGGAGGCACAAGAGGAGGCATGAGAAGTATCTAGCCCTTATGCCTGGGTACCTTGATGCCAGCTGCAGAGCAGCAGAATGTATGGCAGCCCATAACCCCACCTGAAATCAATAAGTGCTCCTCTGTCAGAACTCAGACTTGCTAATCCAAACATGCTCTGAGTATCACCAGCTATACAAACAGGAGCTACTTGTCCAAGATCTCATGTGTTGAGTGGTTTGGCCATTTCCTAATTAAGCTGCTGTTGAGATGCTGTGAAGTGTTAGAGGAAGCTGCAATAAGGAGCTGCCAGGAAATTATCTTTAATAATTAGTGGACAAGAAAAAGGAGAGACAGAGTCCTTAAAAGGACAAGCAAGCACATACATGGCAGAATTTGCCCCTGGAGGCTTCTGTGACCACAGCTCTGCCTTGAACAGGAGCCTCCCCCTTTCCTGAAACAATCCCCACCTACACAGGTTCACCCAGAGCAAAAGGAGCTACTGTCATAAATAACACCTCAGCCCCCAAACTCTCCAGCCAGCTGCAATAAGATATTCTTGACATCATGATGTTGTTTCTACAAGTCTCTTAATTCTGAAGTATTCTTTCCAGAGTCCCCAAAATATCAGGTGTTAAGGTGTATGCCATCATCTCTTCTGGTGGGATTTGGCCATTTGACTTTCGTTTTTTTTTCATACCTATGTTTCAACTTTCATGTTTTTCACACTATTGCTCATGTTGCATTTGGTAAAGTACATAGTCTGCTTCTTCAGGTGAATACTAAATTCCTGCACAAAATTTCATCAGCACACCAAACACAACCTATTTTATTTCTCATGCAACTGTGTTCATTTCTTCTTGAATAACCCTACACCTTGTTCTTTCACTCACAGTATCTTTGTACCTTGATACTGCGAGACAAGCCTTAGATTAATACTTTTTTAACATCTTTATATGTACTGCAAACACCTGCCACAGTCCCTAGTCTCAGATAATACACTGTGGATAATCTTCCTATCTCTCTTTACCCTCATGTAATTCCAGTGACTTCACATAGCTCTGCTCAGTTTCACACAGGTACAAAGGTGAAGGAAGCCCAGTTGAGAGCACATCATTCCCTGAAGGATAGGCCAATAAATCCTTGATATTATCTGTTACAGCAGCTTATTACTATTCCAAAAGAGAGAAGCAGCCTTTACTCCAAATGTTTTAGGATAACTAGAAGTAGGAATAAAGGGAATTTATGTGAAGGGGACATAAATGAATACAGAAGAGCTTCCAAACTGCACTTTACAAACTTGCATCCTTTACAATTCTCCTAAAAGCTGTTGTTTTGCTGTGTCTCCATTAAGGTTTAATGGCAGAAGCAATACTGGAAGATCTCTCTGCCAGGATTCATTATTTTTAAGCCACATGCTAAAGTCCTAATGCTTTATAAAGCCTCTACATGAACAATGAAAATCCAAGTATTATTAATCAAATTGGTTTTAAAATCCAGTCATTTTCATCATCCTGGGAGCAGGGAGTCTGGATGGAGATGAGGCAGGGACAGCAGCTTGATATTTAAAAGCATTGAGTTCAATGTTTCTTTTTAGCCATAGACTCCCTGGACAAATCACTTTTTTCCCCAAATTTTACTTCCTCAATTGTAAAATGTTACAGGACAACCAGGTAAAATCCTTAGACACCAGGCTAACTGTAGAAGCAGATGGAGGGCTATTTATGCTTTAAAATGATACATTTACTCTTTGATTTTCATCTTTTTTTTATAGTACTCTATTTGCTGAGTAATTCAGCAAATGCCTGTGACTCTCAGTTAGGCTGCCCAGGTATCTGTGTCTCACTATGGTTTTTGGCTGTACCAAATATAGAATTGATATAAAATACAATTACCACATGTAAGTATTAAAAAGGCAGTAGGAGTTTGGTTTCCAGGATGACCAAACACAGCCATAATGAACATAAACAGTGAGGGGCTGGTATGAGATTTAACATTAAACTGCACTTACAAGTTTTTATTACTCTATTTACTACAAGTGAGAACACCTAAAGCCTCCAGCATTTCACTGTTAGCACAGAAGAAGTCCCTAAGCACAGAGGCAGCTCTCATCCCAAATGGTAAATCAGGATAATTCCACCAGTGTCAGTGTTCTCTGTAAGGGCCCAATGCCTGAAATAAGAAAGGATAGGGGAGTTCAGGGACACATCCCTGTTCACAGCTGCTTTTACACCCAGATTTTTGCCCCAACAGCAGTCACACCCCCAAATGTCTTTGGTGTGCCCTCAGGACACTGCCCTTGAGGACAACAGCTCACTGCACCAACAGCATGGCTGCAGCACCACGGAAAGGCTGTGCTTTGCTCTTACCTGAGTTGAACTCAAACTCAGATTTTCTTTGCTTCAAGGCTGCACTCAGAATGTCCTTTCTGTTTGGAAAGTCATTTATGCTGCACAAGCATATGCTCTTCTGGAGCCCTCAAGTAATGAAAGGGGGAAACAGCACTCTGGTAAAAAAAATTTGCAGATGTATCAGGCTCAGCTTGTCCCCAACGTTTCACAGTCAGAGTTGAAAGTCAGCCCGTGGTTCAGCCTGGGGCTGTTGCAGAGTTTGTGATGTCCACTCAAGGGGAAAGCACAGACAGAAACAGAGCCTTGTGTCCCTCCTGGCTCCCATCCTGCCAGATGCTGGGCACTCCCAAAGCCAAGACAGGTCTCAGCTGGCTTTCAGTAACAGCTGGAAGTACACTGACCCTCCTCCAGAGTAACAAATTCCTCAATTACATTCCTTTATCAGTGTGTGAAAACATGTTCATGTAGTTGCACTCAGTGCTGGGCTAACTCAGTCATGCCCAGTCCAGCCATGAGCAGTAGCAATACCAAACATCAGGGCTGTACAATGGTAAGAGCAAGATGGTTTATTATATAATGAAGAAGAAGAAAAAAATTCATTTTCATCAAGTATTCCCTCATGGGGGTCAGTACAATATAAAGGAAATAAGGAAAAATGTACAAAACAACCTGACAAGAAAGCTCTAGATGAAATATGTTCAAAGCACTTGCAAATGATATTGCTGGACAGATGCAGAAGGAAATTAAATCAAGTAATTTTTCCCCTGCAAAATACAAACTGAAAAACTGATTTTATTTTCAAAAATTCAATTCTGTCTTTACCTGCAGATATTTCAGGTAAGCCGACACACTTTTAGCTGTGATACATTTTTCAAAGAAAGGATTCCCAGAACTACTGTTCAACCACATTTCTTTCAAAGTGGATTTTATTTTCCCTTCCATCTTTATGCAGGTGGTAAGCCCAGCTCAAAATAAAAGAAGCTTAGCCACTGACTTCAAAGAAACCAGGTCCATATTTCTCCATTTCCTGTTATCCTTTAGCAACCATGGCATTTGTTTTTCCAGAATCAGCAACAGAACTCCATCTCATCCAGAGCATCCTTGTATATGAGGTTGCAAAATTAAAAAAAAAAATCGCTAAACAAAAACCACATATAAAACATCAGCAGTGAGAAATTCCTGAAGGTTTTCAAGCCTTGCTCCTAACTCAACTAAAGTCAAGGTACTTCAAACAATTTTAGCTGGAGCAAGACCAAATCCTTACAGAACCAGAAACATGGTCCTCAAAAAGCAAAACCATAAGAGTGTTGTAATCCAAATGGAGGAGTAAAAGACAAACAGCAATGTACCTTGCCTGGCCCCAGCCAACATAATATCTTTGCCTTGGGTATTTCATTTACTCCTGACCCAGGCAAGATTCCCATTGGTTACAGTGAGAGCATTACTTAAGTAATGTAGTAAAAGGACATCATGCATTAGTAAGCTAAAATATGAATCCATGCTTATGGCAATAGCTCTCCCTTCTAATGCCCTACAATGGGCATCTAGGAAAGGAAATAAGCAGCTGTACAGAAAAAAAAATCTGCGCTTTGTTACATTGGTGACCATCCTAAGCAACTCCACAGAAGTTTTCAGGGTTCCTTTCAATATGCATAAAGAAAGCAAGAAGTCAGATAGATCAATGTTAGGCAAGATTATAACATATTTACTCAGTGCAGAATGCAAAACAACAGCTAATGCTTAATACAAACAAAATAGTATCACTTTCATACTCGTTACAAATTCATGGATTCCACATGGTTTACTTCCTTGCCTTAAAAGAAATGAATGTTTAAATGAAGCATGAACTTTGTGTCTCTAAAAATAACATCCCAAGTTAGCAAAGGAATCATTTGAGGAAAAAGAAATTGGAAATGGACATTTAATAACAAGTTGAAAGGAGATCCCCATTTTGCTTAGCATGAAAAGATCCATGAGTTGGATTTGGCTGGGGGGTTTTGCTGTTTGGGTATGGTTGGGTTTTTGCATCAAGGGAAAGAAAATAGCTATGTGGGAGAAAAAATATTTTCACAAATACAATAAATAGTTGTTCTGATCCAAAAGCAAAGTGCGATGTAGAATTTTTCCACTTAAAAACAACCTACAGCATAATGCCTTAAATATTAACAAATCAATTAGTGGTCAGCACAGTAAAATAAATATGAACATACTGATTTACAATTTGTTTCTAGCAGCAAAAGTCATTAACCTACTGGCCAATGTGACAGCTTCACAGAAGTCTTGTTTCTTGGGTTTGGTACTTGGTTTAACATGAGAAAAAGATTAATTGGGTCTGGAAAATGGCACTTCAGCTGTACAGTGTTCTCCCCAGCCCACCTATGTCAAAAGGGTTTGCCCAGAACACGTTTTCAGTATTTTTTGAACAGAGATTTGGAGAATACATTTCACAAAAAGAAATAAAACCAGGATCTACTCAGTATCTAATGCTGACAAGTATGAGTTTGGATTGTCCTGAACCCTAAGGATAATGGGGAGGTTGGGCGTTTTCTCTTTACAGTCAGCAACTTCCTATGCTGAAAGGGGAGTGGGAAAATCATAAGCCATTAAGCAAGGCTAAAGAGGGAGAAGAAAGCTTTGGTTGCTTGCAGGAAGGGCCACAACAGAGCACTGGGACAAAGTGAGTCTCAGCTCCTTCTCCCAGCAAGACATCTTTCCTTGCATGGAGGAAATCTTCCTACCTTGTCACTTGAGTCCCACTGCCTGCTGTACACCTGCTCTACAAGCCACCACTCTGAAATCACCAGGATGACCACATTCACCTATACTCCCTTGAACAGAACAAAGTAGATTCAGGCTTCTCTGTTCACGGCAGACTGAAGCCACCACTCCAAACCAGACTCAGCCCCAAGCAGAGAGGAGCCTGCAAGAACAGCCTCCTGCACGTTTTTCACACACCCACCCAAAAGCACCAGCACACAGCTGTGCTGTGGTACATCTGCACCAGGTTTTGACACCTCCAGCAGTCACTGGAAATGCCAAATGAGAAGCAGATGGCTGGGCCGGGAGTAGGAGCAATAACCAAAGCTAAGTGGTGAACAGCTGATTTTTGGGACACGTGAAAGCAAGCAAAAATGCCTCCTCATCCCTAGCAATAAGCCAGACAGCACCAGTACCTACAGCTCTTCCAGCTCATATTTCACAAAGGGTTGTTTTTCTACTACTAATTGCAGCCTGTGGGAAATGTCACAGAGGGATGTTTAACCATAATGCAGGGATCACTGTGCTGAAGCACATTGTGGTAAACCTCATCTAACTCCCTCTGCCCCTCTGGACAGTGGTGTCAGATTGGCAAACCAAAGGACAGGACACAATGAGAAAACCAGAGTCCTTCTGTCAATAAAAATGATGAGGGGGATAGGCTGATGAAAAATTGTGGAAAGGCAAATGTTCTTCAAGGCTACACAGAGGGTGAGGCAGGGACAGGAAAGCACAGAAGAAACAGACTTACAAAGCTGTCAGAACTATTCAGTGAGTACTCTACAACCTGGGCACCTGCTCTAGCTTTTCATGCACTCCAGGGCACAAGCTCCATTTAACTGAGTTCTACACAAAGGAGGGGAAGGAATCCCATTCATGAGGACACCTATTCCTCTGCCTCTATTTGCAGGGAAAGGATCTTGGAATGATCTAGGGGGTTGTTTTCAACTACTTTACAAGCACTCACCTTGCCTGGATTTAGGAAGGCTGCATTCAGATTGTATGGCTCCCTGATGCTCACTTAGGGAGCTGAAGAAAACAATACTCAATTTCTGAGGAGCAGCCAAGTGCAACAAACCTTTTGAAGGTGGACTAGGAAGATGAATAAAGACTATCTGGATTTTTTTGTTACTCATTCTTCACTTTTTAAGGCAAGCAGAAAGTCCTTCTGGAATGCAAGAGGCAGGATGAGAATGGCAATAAAAGGAGGCAGGGGAGTTACCTTCAACACTATGTACTAGGTACAATTTATCCCTGGTAAAATCCTACTGAAACTAACGGAGCTGCATCTAAAATTGCAGCTGCCTGAAGAGGGGTGAGAGATGAGCCATGGTGCTTCCTGGACCCTCTCTCTGCACATGCCACTGAAGTCAGTGAAGCTACACCAGTGCACAGCTCCAGCAGCACACTTGGGGATCAGGTCCAACAAAAGCCACGTGCTGCACTTGCCACTGCAGACCATGTTTTAATAGCACTGTGAACTGGACTCCAATCACAGCTCTTCACATCTACCCAAACAAGCAGAAGAAAAATTGACAGCCCTACTTCTGCTCTTTATCCCCTTCCTACTTTTGCTAAGGAATATCAAAACAAATACACACACACCTTTTGAGTTTGTCTACAATTAAAAAGTTGCTTAACAAGTTTCTTGAATACTTCCATGAGGCCAAAAAGCTGTTACTCAAACAATTATCACCCTGACATTTAAATCCTAAATAACTTTGAATTTTTGATGGTCCCTAGAACAGTCAAGTTCCAGGAATGGCATTAAAATCCACCCTGAGATGGAAAAAGAAAGAGGGGGGGGAAAAGTCAACCAGTATTGGTATCTCTAGCTCAAAGCTAGAAGTTTCATCTTTGTTCTGTAAACACCCATTAGGCTTTGCCCAGGGAATGGCATGGAAGTGGGACACACCAATATCAGCTACCCAGAGCCCAGGCAGCCCTGTTCTGCCAGAGCAAGGACTGCAGGACAGAGAACAACTCTTGCTCTTTTCTACATCAACAAGCAAATAAATTACAGCTGACAGCTCCTTCCATCTATTCTCAACCTGACTCAGTCTAAGGCAGAATCAGAGCACAGCACATCTCACCTGAGCAGGTTTGCTTTCCAGTTCACTTCACTAAGCCACTGAGATCCCCAGAGACCTTTTTCAGGGAGATGAGCTACACCCATGGTATATTAAGGTGTCCAGGCAATAATATCAAGAGTAGAAGAATATCTCTGAATGGGGCTAATCAGCTGAAATCCATGTCAGATGTTCAGAATGGAATCTGCATTGCAGAGGAAGCAGTAAGAGGCAAGAACCTCCAAGGAGAAGAGGTATGCACAGCCTTTCTACAAGGATGTGGAAAGAACCTATTCTGGACTGTAATGGGGGCCAGAAGCAGCAAAGTGTGGACAAGTACACCACCTAATTCACACATTCACAGGCCCTACTCCTGCCTCTCTTTTACAAGCTGCCCAGAGATTCAGTCTGCCGTAGGGAGGCATTCTGGAGCACTGCTCTGTGGTTTGCCAAGAGGGGAGAGGGCTTTGCACATGGTCCACCCATGTGGAAGAACCACAGAAGTTCCCAGCACTTCTTGGGCTTTGCATATTCATGCAGAAGGCTGGGGAGAAGACACAGTTCCTCCCCACCACTCAACACAATGAAGAGCCTTAGATAATTAGCAAACAAACACCAAAAACACTTCATGTCCTGCACAGCATCATCCTGCCGACTATGACAGAAAAAAAATCTAACCATACCAGTAAGTTTGCAGGTGTTACATGTACAGCTCGAGAGCATACTCCTACCCAATGGAGCACAAAGCAGGGCATGTGGCAAACAGCAGGCGAGAGACAAGCTGCTCTAGTTGCAAACTACTACCGAGGGCGGCGCGTCATTGGACATAGCCCAGGTTCTCCATCTCGTTCCTGTACCGCTGCTCAGACACTTTGCTCTTGTGCTGTTTGCTCTCCAGGTGCTGCCTGAACTCCATCTCCTCGCTGGCCCCTGCGTTGCACATGGAGCAGTAGAACTGGCCACTGGGTGTCACACACATGGCCAGGTCACGGGGGATCCTCTGGCGCGAGCGGGGATTGAAGTAGGGACCTGGGGAGCCAAGAGAAAAGCCTGGTTTACCTGGAAGGAATCAAAGCTTGAGGCAGCTCAGTGACAATGCCTAAGTCCAATGGATGATTGAAAAGCAGACAAAGATTTGCTTCTTTAACAGATTAGAGTTAAGCCTTATTTTCCCCACAATTGCTCTGGTGATTTCTAGATTCACAGAGGTGCGGCCCACAGGGCAGCACTTGGAATTTTATAAAGTAGTAGAGTGGGCTTATTGCCCCAGTCTTATTGAAAATTAGGAGTCTAATAATCATTTAAGTAATTAATCAATTCTTATTTTTCTTAACCATCTAATTCCAGAACTAGAAGAGTCTTTTGATTAGAATAAGCTGCCTCAGTTTAAAACTCACAAAATTATATTTAATAAAACTTACAAAGATTCATCTTTTCCACATAACAGTGATTAGAATGACATGATTAAAACAAGCTTCAACAGGAATCAGGGTTTCAGCTAATGTGTGCTTGTAAAACAACTTAGAATGAAAAAGAGAAATAGATGCCTGGCTGGAGACTGTAGTACACTCTTTAAATCATAGTAAAGAGGCAAAGTTAGTATCTAACACCTGAGGAAGGACTCTATGCTAGGAACAGATGGTCTTAGAGGGAGGCTAACATGCTCTCTCATTCTGGTCATGGGAGTGCAAGTACAGGTTGATGTGCCACAGCAGGAGTCAAAGCACCTGGCCACCTGCCAAGAAAATAAAGCAGGAAAACTGTCACCACTTAGAGCAGCCTTAGAGACAGGCAGATGGTAAATTAAGTTACAAACTGAGAAAAAGAACTAACAAGCAGGCTGACAAAACAAAGCAACTTTAGCAGCTGGGGAAAAAAAAACAAACATGCAGACACGAAGGATCAGCTCCTTTCACAACTTGACTCTCCTAAAACAGACCTCAGAAATAGAAGAAACACAAGTCTGTTTATTATTAATTACTATTCCAGCTACAGAATTGATGCAAGCTCCAAGTTACCTGTGTTGTTCTGAACCGTATATGTATTTCTTCTGTTTTGCATCATCTTATATTCATTCCCTTCTTTCCTTGCCCTTCGTTTGCCTAGCTCTGAGGCATCCCTGCAGATTAAACAAATATGAACAGCTGCAATTCAGGGTTTTCTGACAAAAGGACTGCCAGAGACACTGCCACACGCTTTCAGCCTGAGCATGAGGTTGAACAATACCTACGAGAATGAGTTATTCTGTGCCTCTGCAAGACGCAGCCGCTTGGCGTGATTCTTCCCTTGGTAGTGAGCCTGTGCCACAGCCGGAGAACTAAATGAGGCATCACAAAGCTTGCAGTAATCATTCTCTGTAGCCAAGATCACTCTGCCACCTGGTTTACTGGATCCCATCTAGCAGCAAAGGGAGAGACAGCATGTGAAACAAAAGAAGGTTAAATTGCTGAAATATTTCAATCACAGGGACAGAGACCACTACCATCTTCATCAGACAGCAGGAGAGCTGGAATTAAAGCCCATGGATTAGGACACTCAAGTTGTCCCCAAAGTGCTCTTACAAGAAATTCATTGCTCCTGCCTCAGCCTCCAGGAGAGCCTGCAAATTCGTGGCCTAAGGTGGAGAGAAAAGGAATCTGAACAAATAGCTCTGCAATAGCCACAGAGGTTTGTTTACATCACAGCAATGATTTAACTTCTCCTAACTGCTGGGAGCTGATGAACAGTGACTTTCACGCTGAGGAAGACCCACTGAAAGATAGAGGTGCTTCTCTCTCCTATTTACAGTCTACCTAATCTCTCCACAGCACCCTGTCTTTACATAGCTCCCTGACCACAGCAAGAGGAAAAAAAAAACCTCTGATCCTTAACTTTCAGGTAGGAGAACACCTGGATCCAGACTTCAAAGGAAGGACCCAATCTCACATGAGTAGCTCCTGCTATATGAAGGACACCTTGTCTGTGGAGTCAAACCACATACAGTGATCCAGGCAGGAACCATGTCTCCTCAGCACAAAACATCCAGGGAAAAGTGTTTTGTAAACAGTGCAGCAGCAGTGATTCACGCATCTATGTCACTGCAGCGCTTGACAAGCCAACATTGTTTCACATCTCCTTTGATACCGCTCAAACTTAGGGACACACAATTCTGACTCCTGGCTTACAACGTGAACCCTCACGTGGCCCCATTTTTATTGCCATGGGCCGTTTCCTCCATTTAAAAACGCACCACCAGATACCCTGGCAGGTACAGCAGCCACATCCCCATGCCCCAGGCCGGACCCCATCCCATCCCAGTTCACATCCGTGAGCTGCAAAGCCAATTTACACGGGGCCAAGTCTCCCTCTGGTGGCTCCAACTGGCCAGGAACAATCTGCCACTGCAAATGCTCTCTGCTTCCCTACAGGCAACACAGGCTCAGGCTGCAGGGACTGACAGGCACAGCTTCTATCCCTGGGGCCCAGCTGTGCTTCCCTGCAGTCACAGGCAAAAGCCAGGTTAGCTGTCACATCTCATGACAAACCCAAGGGATGAATTCTAGAAGGAGACAGCAAAAACCACCTCTTTTGCCTGTAATATGCCCAAAACAGAATTAATCTGGATCACTGAGGGAACAATCCATTCACTCTTGCACACAGGAATGAGCACTTCAAAAGGAGCAACAAAAGAGGAATTAGCTAACAGCCCTGGGCAATGGGTGTAGGAGCACCAAAGTACTTTTTCCATGTAGGCTTCCCTCACACAACAGAGGGATGATTGTGCAGAGTGGAGGCCACACCCTCACATCCAAATCCAATTCCAGCAATGCTGTTTTATACCTGCCCTTAAACAGCTACAATCAGCAGCACATCGGACTTGCCAACGAATCAAACTATTTGCCAGGCAGAAACAGAACATTTGAAGTCCAACATTGTGCTGCAAGGGCAGATCAATATCTGCATCTTCAAAGGCAAGCAAACAGCTCACAACAGGCCATTTCCACCATCCTGCACCATCACAAGGAAAATTCTTTCCCAACTCCTGTGGTAATCCTCAAAGCCTGAGATCTGGTTATCCCTACTGGAGGTTAGGTGACAAGCAAGCATGATCTCAGACCCCTTCCCATGCCTTACCTGAGTTGGAAGAGAGACAACCTGAGGTGGGGCAGGCTCAACAGAATTACTCATCCTGGCAGGTGCTGGACAGCTGTTGGCAGCATAGTAATTCCGGAGTTTCTTACTGTGGTTTTTACCCTGCAAAGATAACCCAGATTAACCACTGCCCTAATAATAGTATCTTACTCTGAAAGACAAAGGATCCAGAGACTGAAATGAGAAAGTGCCCATGAAGGTGGCAGCTCAGGTAAAGGAGCTGTCACTCAGAAAATAACAGCTCTGAATTTAAGAGATGCAGGCATTCCTCCCTTTCTCCAAAATGTTCACACCTAGAACGACTGGGCCTCATCTTCAGCTGATTTTCTCAATAAGTTTACAATCAGTTTCTCAGCTGGTTTCCATTTCACTTAAAACCAGTATTTTGTATTTTAAGACTATCAACTGCTTTGCACAGTTTTTTTATAAGCCTGAACACATACACAGATTTCATGAGATTACAAGCTTGAGTTAAAACAAGACTGAGCATAAAAATCCACTTCATATTTTATTTTCTCTTGGAAAACAAATACCATAGTTGTTTTTGCTTTCTGAAAACCTGATAGGACAACAAAATACTATGTATATGCACTGTGGATGCATAGTAAGGCAAATGCAAGTTATGTACAAATACACTTCTGTCCCCTCGTGGCAGAAAATCTGCACAAATAAGATGTTAAAAGTGTAACACCAGTACAACCTACCCCTTCACTAGCAGGATACCACTTTTTCAGGGCCAATAGCAAATCTCAAATCTGGCTCTGGTGCCCTGAGGTTACAGACAACCACCCTTTTGTATTTACTGGTGGAGAAAGACACTATATCCAATACTCATGCAAACACAGCACTAGGCAGAGAGGGTGTAGTAAAATGGGGTAATGCAAGGCTGACATGTTCAATTTCTCAGCAAGAAGCATATGCAAAGAGTGCTTTCCCTACTTCAGGGAAGTCAGCAAGATCAACTCAAATAAAAAAAATTGATCTGAGCCAACCTAGCCAATGAGAGTGTTTTCATAAAAGGCCCCACCAGATCAGTGCTGTGCTTATTCTCAGAAAGGAGACTGTGATAAACACATGGCAGCAGCCCCTTTCCTAATGGCACAGCTGGATCCAGCAGAAAAATACCTGTCCAGGCCTCACAAAATCATGTCTGGAATCAGAAGGTCAGTTTTACTAAACTAGCGTAGATGTGAAATACAGGTTGCATAAAACAAAGGAAAAATCACAAGTGTCTACTTTTTCACCCATGCCATCTTGGCACCACTCCTCTGTCTCTGTGGACAGAGCTTTTTGCAAAAACTCCAGTAACAACACCTTAAATGAAAGCAGTGCAGCATGTCTGGACAACCAGCAAATCCAAGTAGAGTGAAGATATGTCTACAGAGCAGTTTCAGTCCATGAGGTGGTGCAGAGGTAGCTCCAGATGAGCAACTTGAATGCTGCTGCTGGTGTGCAGCACTCAAAATACCCTCGAGAAGCTGAGTTAGTCCTCCTGCATTAGCCCACACTTCCCTCTGTGCTGCCACAGCAACGCTGCTGGCAGTGCTTGTGCTGGCACGGGAATGTCTCCACAAGCTGCAGATGCAGCAGCCCCAAAAGCTGAGCCTCCTGCTGCTCTCCTTACCTGGTAATGAGCCTGGGCTTGCTGGGCCGAATTGAGAGTGACATTGCAAAGCTTACAGCACAGGGGCTTACATAGTTCCTCTAGCATAGGGTCCTGCTCCACCACCTTGGCAAGTTCCTCTTCTTGTGTGTGATGAAAGGAAGGCCCCAGTCCGAGAGACTTTGGTGGGGACAGTGGTGAGCTGGCTCTCGGCCTTGTAGCCACTGACATAGGAAGGGATGAAGGCTTCTCAGGATGAGGAAGAAGTCCTGCTTGCTGTAGAAGAATCATTGGCCAGGGAGACTATGGGCATGCTACTGCTGAAGGACGAGGAGTCTTCTTCAGGTCTAGAACAGAAAGACACAAATGCTGAAATAAGCAACAAGAACAGGAACATGAAGGATCCAGGGGCAATTCCTGTAACTCCACTGCCTCTACTTCATGCCTTTTCAAAATGCCAAGCAGGATAAAGTCAGTTTGCAACACTTTACCGCCCACGGGAACAGCAGCATCCCAGACAACCAGGGCCGGATTACAAGACACTTGTATAAGAAAGAAGTGAGCTCCCTGGCAGGTGAAGATTCCTAACACCCACAGCACCTGACAGCAGAACACTCTCCCACTGTTCCATGCCCACGAGAAGTGGGGGCATACAACATGGACAGCACACAGAGCTGTGTCAGTGGCAGGATACAACCCCTATCCACACCCTCCTTTGGAAGCCCAAGGATAAGCTCACTCCCCAAGGCCTAAACAAATATTACAGTGGACTAGTGCCATGAACATTTACAAAGAATCCAAATACCTCAAAGCAGATATATTGTATATAGGTAGATGCAAAATACACAATCACATCTATCCCTCAAATACTCACGAAGACTTTCCTGAGGAAAAGCTTTTCTTCAGTAAGTCAACAAAAGAGAAAGAGTGGGAATGAGCTGGAGCACACCTTGTTGTACAGTCAGCTCTCAAGGCCTCTCTCCCATGGTCTTCTTGAACGACCTTGAGCTATTTTTCACATTTCCATTACTAACTACAACCAATGTAACATTTAAAGCTACATCTTCTTCTGCAAAATGGAGAACTTATATTAACCTTTATTCAATTATTTCTCAGTTAATTCAAGTTATTAGAACTAGCTCTACATTTCCAACAAGAGGTTCTGAGAGATTTATTTAATTAAAGTTTATAAATCACATCTACAGCCCAGATGAACATCCCTAGAATAATACAGAGAAGTCACATTACGAATTAAGGCACAGCTACTTTTGTTAATGTCTTATTAGCTTCTTATCATAACAAATCCTGTTCAGTGCCACACTGGGATCAAGAAAAGAATTATCTTGGCCTTTGCAGATCATTCCCAGCTAGAGCTGCATTGGTACCAACCATGTTTATGCTCTGGGCTTTGCTCATTTGTTTAAGCAAATAATGAGACGCATCTGCATTTTAAAACAACACTTGTGGAAAATTAGGGAAAAGTAAATGAAATGCCACCAAGGAATTTTGTACCTGAGTCGCTTCTGAAAATAGGGACTTCAAAGGCATTTAGGAACCTGAAGAAGCAGATAGCATTTATCTGGGATAACTTCCGGGATTTTCAATCTGCTAAAATTAGCTGAAGATAAATACCTTCTACACTCAAGCGATGGAAAATCCCAGTTGATGCCTGCAATTTTAGGTACTGTATTATCTTTGGACCTCTCGTCCCAGAGAGACCTATGTTCTATAAGGAAAAATAAAACATCATTTAAATGAATTAACGGAACTAAAGCATTCAAGTGACAAAAACATTTCTGAAATGTCTATCTGAAGCCCAAAAAAAAAAAAAAAATAAAATTATTAAAAAAAAAAAAAAAAAAAAGGGCAGTATGCACTGGCTTGGGGACAATGTTTTAAGGCAGTAACCAGGCCACCATGAGTTTTCATGTTTATATTATTCCTCCACCACCAAGGCTCTGTAAAATTTCAGAGCTGGAAGCCACCACAAAGAAGGAAGAGGACACACAGGAATGGTGCTGCATGTCATCCATCAGCAGTGTAAATTCTGTAGTGTTACCTAACCCCTCTCCTATTTTCAGCACACATGACCCTGGTTAAACAGAACAGAAGACAACTTTTTTATCTTTATTTTCCTCAACTAGTACTCTATAGACAGTCTAATTAATTTCTGTGGGACTGCAGATAGAACAAGTTCATATTCATGTTGGTTAAATACATCATAACACAGGCCTATCAAGGCAGTTTAAATCAACTATGCAAGCAGGTAAGCATGCCAGCTAATTTCAGTTTTATTACACGAGTATAATGCACCTCTTACCTTAAAATGAGAGTAAATTATAGCCAAATACTTCACAGAGCAACATAAAGAGATGTACAGTAAATGGCAATTGAGATTCATCTGCTTAATTTTGCATGAGCATTTGTTGCATCACATTTTCTTGAAACTGTCATAAATGAGATTTGTCATATACAAGAGGACACAGTACTTAGAGGATCTATATCTACAGGGGAAAAAGTATAATGTAATATTCTTAGAAAACCTTTAACTGTAAGGTCATTTACTGTCTCTTAAAGTAAGCATTTTGTCTGAAGATAAAATTAAGGCTGCATGAGCAATTTCAATAGTAAGACTTCTTGATTTGGCTTATGCAATATATATAATTCTGTTTTTCTTCTGACAGTGATCTTTAATCACTGAAATTGCTCGAGTTATGCTCATTTCTCTCTTACTGGTATTATAAGAAAAAATTCAGCTTATTTACAGGTCCCTTTAATCCTCCACTTCTGGTTGTTACAGCTACCCTACCAAGGAGAAGGAAAAATAACATTTTTAACTCCTCCTTTCCCTTCACATGAGAAGCTGTAAAATCTTTACCCTACAAGACAGCAAAGGAAGAAGGCACCTCCATCACCGGGGACCCCAAGCAGCACAGCCCAAGGCAGGGTAAGGACCTGCAGCTCTCCAGGGTGAGTTGAAGAGCTGTTCTGCCTCAAGACAGCACATCTCAGAGCTCAGCCATGCCAGGATACACCTCCATCCTATTCCAGCTGTCCTTGAGTGGATGAAAGGGGCACAGGTGCAGAGTCCTTCTCTCTCCTTTCATTTGGGGCATCCCAAGGGCAGCACTAAGGGAGGAGACACAACCTCCATGTCCCGAGTGCCACAGCCTGGAAATGCCCACCTAAAGGGGAGCAACCTCCCCAGCTGGCAACAGCACAGTGCTGGCAAAGGAGCTGGTCTGGCCTCAAATCTAAGGATGGAGAAGGCATGCCCCAAGACTCTCCTTGGTGAAAAGAATAAACCACAGTGAGAAATCTATGCGTTCCCACCAGGATTGTTTTTTAAATGCAGCTGCGGAAACTAACAACAGAGGTGAAAGCTGTCGAAATGGTGAAAAAGCTGTGAGTTTCACTGCTCTATTTTCAAGACAGGAAGCGTTTCTTCTCAAGTTCGCTTGTCTATCAATACATGGACATCCCTTAATGTAACCGTGCCAGGAAGTTTCCTGTGGCCACGGACTGGGCCTACACCCTTCACCCTGACAGGCAGGTTGTTTTATAACGCTGCAGGCATTGAAGGCAGCACCAAACAAACTCACACCATGCACAGCTCGACCTTAGGGTGCACTGACCCTCCCCTGATGAGGACACATTTAGCAACTCAGAACCATCCCTTACGTCAACGGGGCTATCAGAAACCAGGTTGTAAATCCCGACTGCTCGCAAGCATTCCCGCAAAGCCGCTTGCCTCGCAGTCTGGGGGATGGAGAGCAAATGAAAGAAACAAGCCCTGCTACCTCACAGCCTGGGAATCACCGCAAGCTCACGGCAGCGCCGCACCATTCCGGGAAGGCACAGAGCCCAGCCGAGAGGCAGGGACAGGCATCCGCATCTCCCGAGCGCCTCGGAACCGGGACGAGATCCCGCGGCACCGCCCCGGCCCCAGCCCTGCCAGACCCCCGCGCACACCCCGCACCTACCGCGGAGCCGGGGCAGCAGGGCCGGGCCCGGGCTCGGGCTCGCTCTCAGCTGCGGGAAGTGACGGCGGCCGGGGGCGGGCCGGGGCGGGGCCGCCGCTCCGAACAACCCCGCACCGACGCGCTCCTGGGCATCACCGGGAAAAAACACCCTCCAGGAGCTGCTTCCAATAGTCTTCAGTCCTGACCTGTGCTTCTGCACAAGGGCATTTAGTCTTTTCTTCTTTCTTTCTTTCTTTCTTTCTTTCTTTTTTTTTTTTTTTTTTTTCCCCACAGCAGACATTACAATGAACCTGATTTGCATATATAAACATCATCTTATTCGTGCTGCTCGTAGCCAAAATGAGTAATGATTTCCCCTCGAGCCACTAAGGCCTCACCCGCGTGGTTGGGCCACCCTGTTTCAAAGCATGTGGAGTTTCTGTTGATTTTTCTCCCCTTTTGTTGCTACAGGAAAGTGCTGAGGAGTCACTGCAGGCTGAAACCATCACCCAGATTTTACAGTAGCCATTAGCCAACCCACTTGGCAATCCATTTGTTAGACACACTGATTGTTACTAATTTTTGTTAGATCTTTAAAAAAAAAAATCAATTTCTCAGATTTATAGAATCATAGAACAGTTTGGGTTGGAAGGCCCCTTAAAGCTCATCTCATTCCAACCTCCTGCCATGGGCAGGGACACCTTCCACTAGCCCAGGTTGCTCTAAGCCCTGTCTAACCTGGCTTTGAACAATTCCAGGGATGGGACAGCCACAGCTTCTCTGGCCAACCTGTTCCAGGGCCTCCTCACCCTCATAGTCAAGAATTTCTTCCTAACATCTGATTTAAATCTGCCCTGTGACAGTTTAAAGCCATTCCCCCTTGTCCTCTCACTACATGCCCGTATCAGCAGTCCCTCTCTGGTTCTCTTGTAGGCTCCCTTTGGGAGCGATGCTGCAGGTCAGAATCGGGAGCCGTGGTGATGTGGAGCAGAAGCAGCAAAGGGGCGGTTTGGAATCCAAAGGAATGCTCACGGAGCCTGCTCTGCCCTCTGTTTGCTGGGTGAGTTCTGCCATGCCCTGCACGGCTGTGCTCCCACCTCCTGCAGTGCCACCTGCAACATCTCAGCCTGGCCGCGGCTGTGAAAATGGTCCCATGCTAGACCCTGGGGCCTGCAGAACTATTCCAAGTAGGAGAATTCACCAACGCCCTCACATGTTCACACCTGGCTCCAAAACTTGCTTATGCCATCTCTCTTGTTGAAAGGATAAATATCCCTTGACAATAGAGTGATTTGCCAAAAACGCCTTAACAATTAATAACCCAGCTTATCCCTGTCCTCTCTATCACCACCTCGGTGCCACCCTCACTTGTTGCATCTTGTTGGCTCTCACCAAGGTACCCCAGCCCGGCGCTCTCCTTTCACACCCTGAAAACCCACACCACTTGGGAGTGCGCATTTACAGTATTATTCCTCTTGAACTTCTCATTTGTACGGGCATTCGCTTGGCGGGCCACTCTTTCAACAAAACACAGGACTCACGTACAGCGACTTGATGCCAGTGGCAGCTGATTGTAAAGAAACCTGGGATCCAAGTGGGGAAAGGGTCAAGACTTGGTCAGACGCGCCGCCATGTGCAGAGCACGGGGGTGTCAGTGACTTTAGGGCAACAAGCGAGGCGGGACGAGCCCGCGATTCCGCAGCACGCCCCGTCCCCCCGGCCCGCTCCCCGCCACCGCCGGGCCCGCGCCCGCCTCCCCCCGCCGCGGTTCCCGTTCCGGCGGGCGGTGCCTTCCCCATCCGGGGTCAGCCCCGCTCCCTTCCTGTTATTCCCGTGCGGGAGGCGGCGGCTGTCGGGGAGCGGCTGCCGGCGCCGCTGCCGCCCGCGCCCGGGGCACAGGCACCGGCCGAGGCGAGCGGGGCGGCCGCAGCAGCGGGAGGCGGCGGGCGCGGCCCGGGGCGCGGCCGGCCCGGAGAGGCCGCGGCGGGCGGGTGAGTGAGGCGGGCGCGGCGGGGGTGGCGAGGGGCCATTCCCGGGGTGGTGAGGGGCCATTCCCGGGGTGGTGAGGGGCCGCTCCCGGAGCGCCGCTCGCCCGGGGGGCTCCGGCGGCAGCGCGGGGCTGAGGGGCCGTGGGGCTGCGCTCGGCCGGCGGAGCTGCCCCGCCGCATCCCGCGCTCGGGGTGCTCGCAGGGACGGGAGCCGCCAGAGGAAGAATAGCGGCTTGTTGTTTTCCAGCGTGGGTGCCTCCACCCCTGGAGTGGAGCTGTTTGCTGTGAATGTGCTCCGGCGGTGCCGGGGATGGGGCTGGGTGATGCCGCTGGAGCAGAGCCTCTCCCGATGGGTGTGTGTGTGGATCCTGGCACACAGGCTCCTGCTTCCAGATGCACTCGCTGGCAGTAACAGTGCCTCGTCTTTCCTACCTGTAAAACCTTCTTTCCTATTTTATGCTGCCAAGAGATCTGTTCGTACTTGTGTTAAATATGAAACTGCTGTTTCTTACCAGTATTTGTGTGTTTTCTGGTCGACTCTATATTAGCAAAACTTTGACCGAACTTAACACAGACTGCCTCTTTGTTTTTCTTTGGGGGTTTTGTGGCTGTTTTTAGTATTCCTTAAATTATTAAGCTGTCAGGCCAATTACTTCTATAGCTGTTATGGATATGTCTCTAATTTTTATAATTTTTTGTCTGTATTTCTTTTCTTTTTGACTAAAGATCTGGTTGAACAAAGGTTACTTTATAAGCAGTGCCTATTCAGAACAAACAGGAGGCAAGCACATACACTTTAAAGGTAGAAAGTAGGGAGTATGACGCTTTTCTTGGTTTAATTCTGCAACAAACTTATAAAGGAGTGGTAAATTGGGTTCTGAGTCTAGATTTTGTAGAACTTAATAGAAAAAAATCTGTTCTATTCTGTTAGTCATTTGTACCTTTAGATCTCTGCTCCACCAGGCATTCAAATTTATCACATTGGATAAAGTTAGAAACTTTCCCATCATGATCTGACTAATTCTTTAGTTTTTCCACCTCACTGTTAGTTTACAGAGGTGTACTCATACTTGTTGCTTCCATGCTGTAGTTCTATAATGTAGTGTAATAATCAAAGTCCACTTCTTGTGTGTAAACTTTGTTAGTTCCTAGGAATATTCCAGTACTCAGGGTGATGGGATTTAATAGTGTGTCTGCTATGAGGAACTGACTGGATAAGCTATTCTAAAATAAAGCCCCATATGGGCTTAAAGCTTCACAATAAATAACTTTATTCTCAAAGAATAGCATCGGAAAACTTCTTTCAGAGTTTTTACTTATTTAGAAGCATATTTTAGCCAATGTAGAGAAACCACACATCAACCAAACTCACAATGTTCCCAGAGGAATTTATGAAACCACAGAATTCCTATGGGATCCATGAAATATTGCACTTTTTCATTAGGACAATAAATGCAGCAGCTCCAGAGCTGCAGTTGGAATTTGAGTGGTGAGATGCCCTGCATTTCCTAGGTGTTAAGTTGGTGCCATTCTTAGCAACCTGGAGACAGCGTTTGGTGTTTTTTTCAGGACAGGCGAATCCCAGCCTACAAATCCATGCCGAAGTGTTTTAATTGGCTGCTCCAAATTGTTATTCTGTATCAATGACACATTTATTCTGTTTGTTGCATTTCCTGCTTGAATGATGGCTCTGAGAGGGATTTTTTGGGTTTTCTTTCTTTCTTTTTTTTTTTTTTTTCTTTCTGGAGTATTCTTTGGAAAAGGGGGTGTAGCTGATTTGTTTACAAAGCAATTGTGCTTTTATTGGAAGTCATAAAATGGTTCAATACTTAGTTAACTGTTTCTCTGATAATCAAGCTATTCCTGCTTTCTCTGAGCAAATGTGGGATACTTTTTCCTGGATAACTCTTTTAAGAAAAGTTGCTCAAAGCTTTAGAATATGAATTTCTGTAACCAGCAAGGAGCTCCTGCTTTACCCTCATGCTATCTCACAAAACGAACTAAGTAACCTTACAAGAGCTTTCCAGTTATTGGAAGAAAAGCACAGACGCCTTTAAAAGGTGTTGTGGCATAAGGATCGGACTTCGTGATCCACAGATCCTGATTTTAGTGTTGTGTGGTGTGCCTTTTAATGGCTTGCTCCTGGAGCAAGCCTTGATGATCATCATAACTTTAATTTCTTTTTGAGTTAAAACTATCTATAATTCTTTTTGAGTTAAAACTATCTATAAATGACTAGACAACAAGCCTAAGGCTGACATACAGTCTGCAAAACTGCTTTCTTATGTTTTATATATCAAACATCAACTCATTATCTTTGAGATTTCTGGTGCAGATTCTCTGGGTGTCAGGAATACCTTGAAAACCTTGCAAATATCCATTTCCAAATGGAAGATTGTTGCTATTGGTTTTGTTTGCCTGTTAGGGGGGAGAGGAAATTGGGATGATGATACATTAGTTCTAAATCACACAAGAAATTATAGCAGCTCTAGATTGGCATCGTGTAGCTTTGCTTTGCCTAGTTGAGTACATTAATGAAGGTTAGCAAAGACTGTAGTTAATAGGACATTTGAGGAGTGTTTTGTTCGGGTGAGGGGAAGCTAAGATACTTTGTTTTAACTTCAATACTGATGCAAAAACTGGTTTTGTTATTTATAACTAAACTAAATTATTAGTTATTTATAACTAACTATAGTTATTTATAACTGTAACTAGAAATAGTGCTGCAAAACTTGTCTTTCTAGTCTTCAAGTACCATTATAAAATTAAGTTTTATCTTTCTACTTACTGGTTTGTAATTACTGAAAAATATGTGAGACCTAGTAAATCCTCCCCACTGAGAA